GTACATAATAATGATATATATATATATATTATATTATATTCATAAGTAGTCTGTAGCGTATGTATATGAGGTATAGGGCTTGTGTTCAAGCTGCAATAACCGTCNTTGCAGACAACGCTGCCGAACAACCGCGGCGGTCGATTATACTTAAACACGTCCGTCTCCGAATAACTACCCCCACCCACGCGCTGGCGATGTTTTCGGCCGGTTTTAGTGCGTTGTTATGATTAAGTCTAGCTATATATTATGTGTATTGCAGGTACTCAAACGTGCGCTTTTCTTTACGCGTACTCGTTTCATAAAATAATATAAGTCCCTATCCATTATTTAATTGCCGTAATATTCGTTAAATAGCATATCTATATATACCTACCGCGAATGCGTTTCGAAATCGGTCGGATTAAAAACAAATTATAATATATACTCGTATATGCACGACGCTCGCCAGTGCCTCGAAGAGAACGTGTGTGTTTATGTAAGCTGCAACGACAACTGAGGTATTTTGTTTTTGGGCAATCGATGATTTATCGGGCGTCCCGAAAAATCAATGTCGACGTACTTGTCAACGTACGCAGAATATATTATACAAATATTAGTGCAAATTTGGAAAATTTAGTCATTAGCACATTCATACAAATTGTAAACTATATGTTTACAAGAAAAAAAAAAACGTGAAAAACGTACGTTTCGATGCTGTGGTAACGTTTGTGATTATTTGTAACGAATTATTAAAATAAGAATTTTATAAAACGTGTAACTAATTTATATTGTCGTAAAAAATTAACTGCTGCAGTTCATGTATAGAAAACATTTTCACCACTCAAAATATTTTCTCACGATAATTTTTGGAGAATCTCCCGGTATATAATAATATTATAAGTATATAGCGACTGACGCAGTATATTATCATTTGTATTAATTATACTATTAAGATTTATGACCCAGTCAGCACTCGGCACAACTGAGTGTCAGTGGCTTCACAACTTTGGAAGCCCCGTAGCGCGTGGTGGCCGTGACGCGGAAGGTTCGCGGTGGCCAGTGAAATTTTAAGCTACATCAAACAAACTGAATGAAAAATATTAATAAACGTCTACAAAAATTGGGTCGACTCGACCTGGCGCACGTGTCCGCAGTCYGACGCCTCGGTCATAAAAAAGTAACATTATTATAATACTATGATCCAGTTAACATTGGACACTGACTTTTTCGTTCTAGTATACATTTTTAATTTAACTTTTAGTCGTYAAAAGMAAAATTTATCTAAATAAATAATTTTTTGAATTCCACGATGTAGGTACATAAATTATAAATCAGATTTTGGACGAGAAGTTTATGGTTTTTGTAAGTATTTTAAGTTTTGATGATGATGAGGGGTTTCCCTACAATTTTGAACCAYCATTTTAAAATACTTATAAGTTGTAACTCAAAAATTAATACTTGTCCGAAATTTGATTTGTATATAGATCGAAATATTCCAAATAATATATTAAAAACGAATGTTGTCGTTCAAAAAAAAAAAAAAGAACTTTAAAAAAAATGATAACGATAAAATAGTCGTGAAAATATAATTTTTTCCGAAAAATATTGATTCGTAAAAACAAGTATTTTTAAAAATCGTTAGTGATTTTATGTATAATAATGAGTGCCTTACGTTTATCCGAACACTCCGTATCTATTAGGAAAAATCGATGGGCGTTATATCAGCCGACGGATCTCATTAGGACCTCGCGAGCACACTTGGAACGCGCGGTTTTGCACCGGGTGGGAACAAAAGACTTCTTAATGGATCTTAATGACCACCACCGCACCAAAGAATTTAGTAAAAAATGTAATAATATATTATATTATTGTCTGCGCCGCCGCCGAAGTTATTTATTGTAAGTCGTCGTCTAAGTTACCCATACTAAACGTGCGCGAGCGCTCAAGTACGCGGACATCAACAACTGGTTTCGCGCGAGTTGGCGATAATAATAATTGAAAAAACATAATATAATTCGATCGTGCGATTTTCTTTTTACGACCAGTGCTGCGTGTGCGATATTGTACCTCGCGTCGGTTCTTTCAGTACAACTACGTGTTATTATTATTATTATTGCATTCGCTTTCACTATAAGCGCATGATATATTATATATAGGTGATAATAATAATAATGAGAAGACGTACGATGTAGTGTTATATTATAGCCGTACGTGAGTGGGTCGATATTTTATATCATTAATTATTATTGTTATTATTTAAACGACTGATGCAAATATATTTTATATCGAGTCTACGATTTTGTCGATGGCATGTCTTTAATCAGTTGTGGTCAAACTGTAGGGGCAGGAGGTTGGGGCTGGTAGTTGACGAGGGTATTATAGATCCCTCCGTGACATCTTATTTTTCAATGAATAAAATCTAATAAGTTACTATATTTTTAATAATCAAATGTCTAGGCGTAGAACATAATATCTTGATCGCCACAGTCGTAAACGTTTCGCGCGCCGCTGATAGAAACGGCACGGTGGCCGGTATGGTTATCGACCGCGATTATTAATTCCTGTCGAAAATATATAAATAATATAATACGTCTATTTCGGCTTCCCTTATGTCCGTTCGTTCGGGCGTAGGTCGTGGGAAAATTTAATAAACTATCGCCGTATATTATTATTGTTGTTGCTGTTGTTTTGTTATGTAGGACGCGGCTGCGATTGCGATCTCCGTCTCCGTCGTCGTCGTCGTCGTCTTCGTCTTCGTCGTCTTCGTCGTCGGATCCGGGATGAGCGCGCGAGAAAAAGTAGGACGTGCCGCGCGGGTGGGTCGGTGGTCGGCGGCGCTCGCGTAGGTATTATATTATWAGTATCGTGTATACGCACGCTGCCACGACGAATCGTCCGGCTGTCCGAGGAGAGCGATAAGGCGGCTGGCGARTGATGCGTACACGCACAAAACGTCCACTCGTCGTCGTCGCCGTGACGTGCGGCCCGGCGGCAATCGCCTCGTCGTGACCGGCCACGGTCTCTTCGCGATGAGTGTAGGTACATAATAATATTATAATTATACGAGATATATTATAATAATATAGCTGAATTACCCCAACCATCATCTCCGCTCGGCTTAAAATTAATTTGTTTATTCATACATATATAGTKGTTTTCCGTTTTTCCGTAGTATGATACTTTATATATACATATAAATATATATATTTGTAGACAGGATTAGGTTAAATACCTGTGAAAACCCCGCCATAATCGAATCAATGATCCGTTTCCGAATCCTTTCTTGTAGGAAAAACGACAGACAGACGAATTTATCTGTTCGCCGTGTTTCGTTTAATATATTGCACTTAATCTTAGGTACGTTTAAAAAAAACCACAACATGTACAATTTGATAGGAAAACACCTAATGTTCATTATTGGTATTTGTATACTATATAAATAATAAAAACTAGATGGTAAATAATGGCGAAATAGTTTATTTCCCAAAAGGGTGTGGTACACGATGTTTTTCGTCTTATGTACGAACACATTTAAATGCGTCCTTATACTAATGGTCACTTATAATATTTATACCGTGAGAAAAGTAATGTTTTTTTCCAAATAAATCTCCACTACCAATATKTGCATTAAGTTTTCGTGACTAACTATCTAATTTTTTATAAACCCTATGACAACCCTATATGTGAACATATAATGCAAAAAATATTCGATTTTCATTTGCCCATTTCTTATAGCTATACGTTGATTAGTTCAGTCAGTAGATCTCCTTTTTTATAATTATTTACACATTATAATATCTCGCTGTCATGGCGTGACGTACGGCTAACGAGAAAACAMAAACGTCGCCTGTACTCGTCGTTCGCGATTTCAATTACGTGGAGGATGGTGTTAGAGGGAGGCGCTTGTTAAATACCATGACAGAACAAATTTTCGGATCGAAGTGTAAAATAGGGCGAAAATTGACATGAAACGACGGAAAATCTTCCACGGGAATGTGCTAGTCGTAAGCTGTATAATATTTAAGATGTATAATATAAATGGTATCGGCGGAGCTGTGCTCAGATATAAATATACGGTCGAGCCTACATCACGATTCGCGTAAACCTACAAAATATTATTAAACACTGCCAGTTAGAGTCTTCTACGATTGTGTGAAAAATATATAGTCTTAATAAAAGAGTAAAAGACCTCGACAAGGCAATTAAAAACCAAGGCGCGAAGAGTTTTCGTATTTTATTTTATATAACGTATTAGGTATATTGCGCTATCTCGTCCGTTGTGAAAAAAAATATTGAAAAAACATGCGCAACTCTTAGCGGCAGACTCTCCGTCAAAGGATGCGCCGCTGGAAAGAAGACGACACGCACGACGCTATGGGAATAACGACGAATTCCGAGGAGCAGATGCGTTTACGAGTGCGTAGAGGATGAAAAAAAAAACTCGCCAACCGAGAATCGTTTTCGGGATGGCGTTTTGCCGCCCGAGTGAAAGCTATAATGCCGCACGAGAACAGGTCGGACACGATTCGCGTGCCCGCCGGCCAAACGAAGACTAATACACGGCGACGACTTTGTATATATATATAATATGTATAAAGGAACATTTAATGTGCATTATTGTTAAAACGATATTCTCGCGACTTTCTACACGCGACGCGCTTTATCGTTTCCTAAGACTTTGGGCTACTACGTGACGGCCGATCACTGAATGCTTCAACCTTCAACTCGCAGTATTTAATATTATAATACCTATCGTCGAGCGAAAAATAACTAATTTCTATACTTTCTAAATTACGTGACGCCGGCTGCTGTGTGCCATCACTATTACGC